TAGCAGTAGTAGAGAAGTTACAGTTGTGTTTAGTCATGAGTGTTCAGCGCGCGTGTGACGCATATTTCGTTGGGCTACGCCAGTGGTTCTTATAATTTTGTTTCCCGGCGCATATGTCATATTAGGTTTTCGCCAGGGTTTCCTGGATGAAATTCTTACAAGTACACTTCGAAATAGGGAATACACAAATAAAATAAAGGGTGGGATAAAAATAAATATATCGTTTATGGAGGTAACAAACATGGAGGTATCTATAGCAGATGCAGGTCTTCAAAATGAAGTGACCGCAGTTTGCAGTTAACGTCAGTCGAATACTGATTACCTTACAGTTCCATTTTTTAACAAACCGCTGAACTGGATGCCACTGAACACGCTATACCAGTAGATGCTGTATACATTATATATTATATATACTGTATATTTATGTATTTACTATTAAGATACTGTATTGTACGATTTTGAGACGATATTGTACGATTTTAGGAGTTTGAGGGTAAACAGGTCTGCTATACCAAAGTTCAAATCTGTCACATAATTGGGTTTTGAGATGTTGTATCAAAATTAACCAATTGCAATATCATATGGTTAGTTCTTATTTGAATAAGGGATAAGTGAATTAGTGAGTGCTATTTGGCTATGATGATTCGCTGCATTAATCGACCTAAATTTATTTTCTTATTAAAAGTATTTTTAAACGTTAAGTTTTTATTATGTTAAAAATTTGATAAAAGTACATTTTTAGAATGAAAAATAAGTAAACTTATTGAATGTTAAAAATAAAAAGCTACAATTTTGTGTGTTTTATTAGCAATTTAAAAAGAAATCAATTATTTTAATTTGTTGATTTTACTTTTAAAAAAGGGAAAATACATTATCCGTTTTGTCACATGCGGTTATTAAATAAAAAAAACTTGAAGCTTTTGATTTGCAAGTTTAAATTTAGCTCTTGAAATTAATCTAACTTTTATTTATTTGAGTTCAATCGAAAATTTTACGTCCATATTGTTTAACCCACGTACTGTGGCATGCATCATTCTGCGGTGTGGAGGTTGTCAGAGCTTTTTGAGTGCCATTTGAAATTGCATTAAATGACATAGAAATATTGATACAAGACCCCAATAAATATATATTTTTAGGAAGGTAAATGGATGGGGATAAAGTTGGCCATATTGCCCACCCTGTAAAAAAAATTTGCTCAGTGTCCTTGACCTTTAAGTTCTCAAGAAAAAAAATCGACAAAATGTCTTGCTTTCAAGAGCTCATAACATCATTAATTTTTTATAGCTACACTTAAAACACAAATCTAAGTGTTGAAGCCAATTCATTTATCTTTCAGAAAATGTACAGTTTGCTAAGGTTTTGATTGCAATTAAACCTCTGAAAGCAATTTTAGTAATTTTAGGTCATTTATTTAAGAAACTGGGACCACCGCTAAAACCAAGTAAAAAAATACAAAATCTCAGGCAAAATAGTTATTTATTATTATTGACTAGTAAACATATAAAAAGGAACTGTGGAACTGATTTGGGTTGTTTAACTATAAAGTTTATTAGTTCTGAACTATAATTTGTAGCTTCTGTGACTAAAATTCAGTCAGTCCTTGCCCAACCTCCGAGCCTGACTAGAAGTCTAACAGTAGCCTCAGTAGGCCTACTTCAGTATCACTAAGACTAGTATAAGATTCACGAGAAGAAGAATCTCAACTGATGTCGTCATGGGGAATGTTAAAATCATCATCAGTATCACTTAAAATCTCTCCTAAAAAGCTTTCAAACATATTTCAATTAGTTCTCTTACTGAAGGCCCAGCCATGGCTCCAACCATTTTAGCTTTAAAAAAAACAGCGATATAAAACTCTGATTAAAAAGTATTTATTTTCAAGTTATCACGAAACGGCTTGAACCGGAAGATGATTTAATTATTAATAAAAGGAAGTGGCTATAATTTCAGTTAAATATTGGATTGGAAGTTGCTATTGGACCGTGTTTTTTATTGGCCGATTTTTTTTCAGCCGCCACAGTATAGAACGAGAATGTCGGCCGATTTTTCCGGCCGACCACAGTTCGTGGGTTTTAGTCATTTAGATAAAATTAATTAATATTTGTAATCTATTCTATATGTTTTATACAGCAGTAGTATTTTTATATTTTTAGAAATGTTTTGAAATTTTTACCAAAGTGCCAACTATTTACCTGATGGAACTACATTAAAACACTTCAATGGTTACTATACTATAATATGTCATTGTATTAATCGTTTCCAATTAGCCAATTCGTTTGTTGTGCACTGTACCATTATTTTCATTGGTTTCAAAGAGATTTTTAATATAAAACATGTATTTAAAATAATCAGTCAGTTCCATAAGTTATGTCTATTCAGCTGATGTGTCGCCAGATTTCTTCACTTTTTCCCAGTCTTAGGCCAAAAGCATTATTATATTCTTACCTTAAATTTAAGGTAAAAAAATAGACACAAGTCAGACTCGTAGGCATCAGCTTACAATGGAGTCATAGGATGAAGTACATGTATTAACTGATGGTGTAACTTAGTGTAAAACACCCCCCTCCTCTTTTCTTTCATAAACTTACATCCATTTAAACTAGGAACAAGGTACGGTAAAAAAAAAATTATAATGATATATCACCAGTATTTCTTTTCTAATGTATTTCTGACATTGTATATCTTTGGCCAATGGTTGTAATATACTGACATTGATATTCGGCATTGCGCCTCGCCCCTTCTGTGCGTTCAGAATATAGGGATTAGAAATTGATTTCCGACCAATGCAGTGAACGCTTCCCAGACAACTAAACACAGGACAAGAAAATCCACAGCAACTGACCACAAGACATCTGAACACATGATGAGTGAACCCACTGACAAATGAAGACACAGACAAGTGAGTAGACGGATAAGTGAGCACCTAGCCAATTGAACTTACGTTCAAATTTAGAGAATGGCTAAATCCCATGGAGTAGTCCAAGCTCACGTCTACCTGTTTAGGGTGACAGGGGCAGTAGGCAACGAGCATCGGAGACAACCACTGAGCATATCAGACCCAAAACTGTTAACGGAAGAACATCTTTTGATTCTTTGGCAGTTGTGAGTCATTTCATAGTAGACAAATAAGTTAATTGGCCTGTGTTTTGTCAGCTCTAATTCGATAGGAGGGAATTAATTATTTAGATGGCACCTAAGTTGACTCAAATTTGCACGGACTAAAATGAGAGACAGTGTTAGTGATAATTATATAACTTTAGGGACTCATTTTTCTTTTTTAGTAATCAATTTGTTCTAGTGTTGGTGTTCACTTCGCTATTGCATATATTTAATTAATTTCTCATTTATTGACAACAAAATCATTACAAATTTAAAAAATACATTAGATACTTTTATTAAAAGTTTTAACAAACATTGGTCCTCATAACTTTCCCCCTCCTCACCACCACCACCACACACAAAAATTTAGACGCCTTACATCATTAATGGATGCAGGACCGTGGTAAGGAAAAATGTCGCCCAGCTGAAACTACAGCTCATAGCATATATAGAAAATGCGCCTCCTGATATTGACACCCCTGGTGAATACCACTTTCACACCGCCTGCATGGATGGCCCCACCATTTCCAAGATGCTAAGAACATGATAAACTTAAATATTTAAACTTGTCTAAACCCATCTTAAATACGACATTTATTTAAATCTAGATACAACCTATTGGGCAACGCAAAAAAGCTCATCTTGGAAGAGTTCTCTTTGCCTTACAGCTGTGAATGACAAAATATTCATGAAATTTTATAAGTTTGATCGCATACAATTTGTTTATTGTTTAATTGTTCTTGTATTAGAATAAAAAGATAATATTTGACCTAAAAAATACTTTTAAATAATGATAAGTTGATAATTTATTTTTAAAAGTTAACAATGGAATTTATTGCGCTTAAATAAGGGATTACCGTATCACAAAAACACAAATTTCCCTAGATGTATCATATAATTAAACATCTCGCCATAAGATAATTAGCGGCTGCTTTGTCCTTGTGAGTGACAGTGCTTTAGGCTTTAAATCTTGATCCCAAGCAGCATTTAGTGTTTTAGAGTCTACAAGATAATTATTATACCTATAAATAAATATATCATTAGATGACATCAGCTGAAAAATATATTAGATGAAGTACTTGGTAATAACTATATCACTTTAGTGCCCTTCGTTTTTTGTTAAATTGCCAATGAAATTAAATTGGAGTTTTAGAATATCTTCAAACACTTTACTTTGGTGAATCTAGATTACAAATTTAGGATAATGTTACAAGTCAGATGGTAGTGTTATTTATTATGATAACTGTAACTATCTTTTTTCAGAAGCTGACAATGTGGACAAGTTTCCCATAAACACAGACTAAGTCAAGAAAACTGCACATCCTTGTCCTGGGATTCAAATACCACTCACTACTGGCAGAAAATTTATTAAAGATGTGGTTGAAATTGTGCCTGCTCCTTATTTATATTTCACTTCTATTTATTCTATCCCGTGTGCTGGATGCCATCTCTTGGTGTGAATCGGGATATGGTGGAGCCTTTTCTCACCAACTCCTTGACCCCATGGTGCTCTCTGTTGCTAAGTTAAAGGCACTCCTTGAGCAAAGAGGTGTCAGCTATGAAAGTGTTGTGGAGAAATCAGAACTGACCAGTTTGGTGGATTCTTCAGGTACCGGTATTTATTAAAACTTTTGCAGCTGTGTTTTTTTAAGCTTTTATACCATGACACAAAACAGCTTTTAATAAAGACACCTTATTTCCACTCACAGCAATTTTTTTCCCTTGTAACTACTTATTTTGTGGTGGATATATGAATTTTTTAAGATGAAGAGGCATCTCTGTCCTACATAAAAATTGTCATGATCATCTCATTTAACTAAATTTATGTAGAAGTATTGAGCTTTTTGGTAAGGGAGAAACTGAGTTTAAATTTTCCATGAAAATTGATAATATTTGTTGCTAATATGCCATTTAGAGTCCAGTACTTTTTTTCCTCCAAGACTAAGGAAAGCCTGTTGAATCTCTGTGGCAAAACAATTGCATGCACAGCTCTTTTAACATCGCCCAGATGAGTAAACTGTTTAATAACTTTTTATTTTTACTGTGGTAGATAAACCATTTGACAGCATATTTAATTAGTCTAAATATTTTTAATTCTCTAAAGGAAAAGTGAGTACCGAAGAAGCTGAGATGGCTCAAGAAGAGAGTGCAACCGCCACTGAAACTAATTTCACATCAGGTGCCCATTTCATAGAGCAAGTGAGAAAAAAATATAACTAAATAAGTTTTATCAAATACATATCTCAAAAATTAAGTCTTGAAGTTGCATTGTAATGAAAGTATTTTTTTTTTCATTACTTATAATTTTAAAAAATGACTTGTAATTTAATGGAGCATGTATATAGCTATCTATCTATCCATCCATCCATCCATCCATCCCATCCCATCCATCCCATCCATCCATCCCATCCATCCATCCATCCATCAATCTTATCTTATCTTATCTTACCTTATCTTATCTATCTATCTATCTACTATCTATTATCTATCTATCTATCTATCTATCTATCTATCTATCTATCTATCTATCTATCTATCTATCTATCTATCTAATCTATCTAATATATCTAATCTATCTAATCTATCTAATCTATCTAATCTATCAAATCTATCTAATCTATCTAATCTATCTAATCTATCTATCATCTATATATCTCTCTATATATATATATATCTATATATATCTATATTTATCTATATCTATATATATATATTGGTTGCTAGGAATTAGTTTTTAAATGTGGATTTTTTTTATGATGAGAAAAACTAAATGTAAAATAAATAAAAATGAGAATATTACCCTTTTCACCACTAAATTATCTTTGTTAGGTGGAGGATGCAAAAGACAGTGTATGGCTTGTACAAATAGTATCACACAGTGGCCATCACAGAGTTTTAAGTGATGCTAGGTGGAAAACCATTCGTCATAAAGCATCAAAATTTGGTGTTCGTACTGGACTCCTTGACTGTTCTCTTGATTTTAGGTTGGTTTTCATTATTCCAATTACAAATATTTTTTCCCATTCTCTTTTTTAAAAGATTTTAACCTAGTGGTTGGGATCTTGTTATTGGTGTCAAGAAATAACCAACGCATATGAATACATGTTTTAAACAACCACTGTTTTTAACTGTAAATATTTTATTTAATATTTAAAATATAGCTTTATAATTATACAGGACTTGTAATATTTCTGTAAATACTGTTTTTAACTGTAAATATTTTATTTAATATTTAAAATATAGCTTTATAATTATACAGGACTTGTAATATTTCTGTCAATACTGTTTTTAACTGTAAATATTTTATTTAATATTTAAAATACAGCTTTATAATTATACAGGACTTGTAATATTTCTGTCAATACTGTTTTTAGCTAAAACTGAATGCTATTGAATTCAGCATCCATTTGAAAATTTCACAGATACTGTTATCAAAAGGGCTGGCACTCACCTTTTCTGCTCCTGGCTCTGCCAAGTCAGTATGAGAAAAAAGCCAGTGTGGCCATGTATGACTACTCGGGTTCAGTGAAAGAAACAGCTGTTCTACGATGGGTTCGGGAAAAGTTAGATGAAAAGGTGCTTCAAATCAAGGATCCTACCGTGTTTAAACAGCAATGGAAGGACTTCTCTGATAACTCGTTGGAACCAGAAATACGTGCAGTCTTGTTTACAGAATCCAGCTCTGCGCCTCTTTTTTACTCAGCATTAAGTGTTAAGTTTCCTGGTCGTGTAAAGTTTGGAGTTGTTTGTCTAAAATCATCTGAAATAGAGAAATCTTTATGGCATGATGTGCTCAAAGAAGAAAAGATAACTGAGCTACCAGCTTATGTTATTTACTCTACTGAAAAATCTTACACATATGGTAATCAGCAAGGAGAGCAGTACTCATTTATCAGCATGGAACGTTTCCTAAAATTCCTATACCCTTGCCTAAATGATATATTTATAATAAGCTTTTTTGTGGCCAATGTCATGTCATGGTTTGAATTAGCCATCTGTAACTGTCAAGCTCTTAAGAGATTACGTAAATTAATCTGGTGTATCTTTAAATATAATATTGTTGTGATAATGCTCTGGTTGCCCATTATAGGTATTTTTCAGATGCCTTATTTAGATCGAGTACCTTTACTGGCTTTAAAATTGGAACGAATTTTCTGTACATCCACCCTGGGAACAATCCTAAGAGGAGACTTTACATTTTTTGTAAATCATCCAATCTACCTCTACACCTCTTTTTTAATCTACCTTGTCCTTGTTAATATTTTATGTAAAAAATATCGACAAGAAGAACAGGAAGATGACTGGTTTAACTTTACACAGATGCAAACTCTGACCCATCTTCGACCCAATGATTTCTTTGAACCCATGCGCATTGGTGGCTATGACTTAATGGGAGGGCTTGAAATTTTTGGCTCACGCTTGTCTCAGCCTTCTCTTTGGTTGCAACCTTTGGTATCATCAGAGTATATCAAGTACCTTCCCACATGGCATTATCGTCCTAGAATGATAGCGGATAGAGTGCCTGAAAATGTTAAAAAAATCGAGCAAGTCTTAAGTGCTGCCTCTGGACTAAAACACGCCCCTGTCCAGTGTACATGTGTTATTCCCGTTGGGAGATCAGAACCTAGCATATCGAGAGATCCGTGCTGTGATATCAAAAGCAACACCTCACAAAATATGGAATGTGTATGTGTTGATCATGTTTCAGTACAAAATAACTGTGTGCCATCTCATGTAAATACATCAGATCCATGGACTTGCAATAACACAACTCATAAAAATTCCTATCCCTGTGATCCCCACCCTGAGATCTCCATACCCAACCCTCAGCCCAATGATCAACCAGCAGCAAGCTTATCTCAACATCAGTCTTGCAGTCACTTTTCCAAGATTTTACCATCACAGTCTTGTTCACTGCACAGCAACCTTGGCAAGTCTACCTTCCTGGACAGTTCATCCTTTTCAGAAAGAGCCAGCACAAATAATAGCACAACAAGCCTTGGCTCTGACTGCAACTTCATGTCTCCTACCCAGGTGAAGTCAGCCTCAGACAGCACTGATGAAAGCTCAGAAATATCTGCATCTAGCTCCACATATGGCTTTCCTGTGGGCTACATGGAAACACATCAGTGTGTCATCTGTCTGGATGAATTCACCCCATCAGCCATGTTGTGCGGTCTACCCTGTGGACATGTCTTCCATGAGACCTGCATCATTGCATGGTTGAATAGGGAAAAGCACTTCTGTCCTATGTGTCGCTGGCCCTCCTACAAATTACAGCCACCTCATCCAGTTGCAAGCCATTCATAAAATAAGTCCAATGACCTCCTATATACCATGAATCTTAATTAATGGTGTTCATTTCACTGTGATTTTGTACTATAAAACTTAACCCTTGGCAATCTCAATTTTGGTTGAAAAGATAATGTTGATTTGTAAATTATTTATGACCTTAAAAAATGTATTGAAAAAAAGTTAACCATTTAACTGAAATATGGTGAGAATAATAGTATTAAAATTGTTTACTTAAAAATGCTTAATTCAAAATAAATTGTCATGCTCCTGTCATAACTGAAGCAAAAGAGGTTTTAAACAAAAAATGGTGTAAAAGAATTTGAACTTAACGGTCAATAAATATCTCAAAGTATTTTCCTTTCCTATACTAACACTTGTTGAAAACAATTCTAACAAATGAAAAGAAAAAAAGAAATTTTAAGGATGAAAAGGTTGAGTTGATCCCAAGATATAATGTGATTTCTACTTTTCATTTGTAATTTGCATGCATAGAACATGTTTAAATCTTTTTCAATATTTCTTTATTACATATTATTAGTATATTAGTGCACTTTATTTTTATTTTTTCAGGGGAACCAGTTTTTTTTAAATAATTTTTTAAGGAGATATTTACTGGTAATATTATTTTATTTTCCTTCCTTAGCTTATTCTAATTTGTCAGATCTTCCAAAACATATTTTTAGGGCCAATGTAACAGTTTCAAGAGAAAAGGGTGGAATTAATCTGATGCAATAATAAATTTAATCAGTGTTTTAAATTTATTTAAGTACATAATATATCACAGCAATGGAAATTTTGTATTGTCCTTCAAATTTTATTCCATTTAACAATCTATCCTAAAAACTAGATTTTCGTGGTGGTAAAAAGTGTGTTAACATGTTTAATGAAATCAGTAAATGTCGGATTTCTGTGCAGATTTGTAATCGTTTTATTACTATTGTAGTCTGCATCCATTTTATTGATTCTGATGGGAGAAAAAGGGCAGAGAATACCACCACAATTCAAATTTCATAGCTAGGAATATGTCCTTAAAACCAGCTTTGCGGATTGTTTTTGGCTTAGTCATAATTAATTTTCTCAAATTCTGGATAAATCATCTTGAACTTTTTGGAATTTGGGTGACTAATCTTTTGTGTAGATTTTAAAACAACCTTGAATGAAGTTATATAGGAAACTTGATATAGTCTAGTAAAATTTGTAAGTAAATGGTTAGAATTAAAAAAGATATATAATTTTTTTATAAAATCAACTCCTGGTGTTTTGAAAATTTATTTTAACCTATATCATTATGCTTAACGAAAGAAGATTATGTTTTATGGCAAACATTAATAAATGAAAGTTTATTTATAATATACACGTGACTTATGTATTTTCCATTGTGTCAACCAACTAGTTAAGACTTATGGAAGTAAATCTGTTTTGATATTTACTACATGTAAAATTGGTTGCAAAGCTTCAAATTGTGTGAATTGTTCATGTATCTGCCATGTGCTGCCAATGAACAGATAAAAAAATGTAACTAATCAATAAGAATGATGCCATAAGCTAGAGCTGTACTGAACTAGTAGAGGCCTTAAAATATTTCCTGCCAATTATGAATAGGGAAGGAATTGTCGACATAATTTATTTTTATTAATACAGTGTTTTTAAGAGTTATTAAGTAAATAAAAAGTGCTACAGTTTTGGAAATAGCAACAGATATATAAAAACAAATGAAACTAACTGCTAAAATGTTTTGAAATTCAGTTCATCGGGCTACTTTCTGGGGCCAAATTATAATTTGTGCGGGTCCACCTAATTGTAACTATTCATGTTCCATATTATAATAAATTGACCCCAAGGATATCATTCAGTACAGCCCTACCATAACTATATTCTTGAATGCACGAGTCATCCAATTTTTTTTTTCCATCAATAGATCTGATAATTAGAATAGAAATTTGTTGAACATATGTTTATGTAAGATAAAAATGCAAAGCTGTGCTTTATGAAATCCACATATGTGACCTGCTTGTCCTGTTGAAACTGTAATGAAGAAATTTCAATTCATGTCTTTCTTACTGGGGTTTAAGAAATTGATTTGGAATTTATACATTCTCATGACCATTTTTGTGTGCTCCAAATTTCTTTAGGGCCCTTATTTTAATCTTGAAATTTTATGAAGAGGTTGTTTACTTTTTATGCCTTGCTGTTGTCTTTGATGACAACACTGTTTGGGAATATTAAAACTGAAGCATTGATAAAATAAAAAAAAATAATATTTATAATAATATATATATGATCTTTGCATTTTGTTTGAAATGTGTTGTCTTTTCCTTTTTTTTTAAACTCACTGTACATCTAAAATCCAGACTATGACATACAACTACAAATCAATTTAGATATGGTTATTGTGAAATCAGAACCAAACCTCTTTTAAGGACAAAAATTGGTTTTCTCTCAATCACCCTTTCAGAATTAAGTGTATCATGCCTCCCAATTTTTTTTTAAATGATAGAAATGATAATGAACGCCTTTAGAATTCAACCCACGTCAGTGCTTTATTCAAAAAATAACACAATCATTTTTATAAAATACAATATAAAAGTATAAAACTGCACATATCTTTCATAAAAAAATTTACCCATTCAATGAAATGCATGGGCCTGTATTTGTCAGGTTTTCAACCATCATTTGTATTACTTCCCATTATCTTATTTTAAGTCTTCTGGTCAATACTAAAAGAATTCTGCACCTGTGTTGTAAGCTGCCTTGCTGCTGAACAGCTACATTGCTGGACAACATAACAACATTCATTACATTAGGCTATAAGCTTATAATCCAGGATGCATGGGAACCCTGAATACCCAAGGATATTAAGCAGATACTCTATACACAACTGTATGATGTAAGTTACTCTAAGTTTTATGGTTTACTAGCCAATATACCCGGCGTTGCACGGGATTGCATTAGGACGCCATCCTTGTGTGACCCCTATTCCATTGAAACCCTAATCCCATTCTGACACCGATCCCGGCGCTGTCCCATATCCCGGTTTTATCCCGATCCCAGTGGATCCATTCAAGGTTGAGATCCCGATCCAGGTGGGTTCCCGTTTTCTGGTGGGATCCCTTTGGAATAAAGATTATGATGGGTTCCCGACCCCTTTGGAATCCCCTAATAAAAAAAAATCAGTGTTACTGAGAGAACAGTAAACTCCAGGACAGTATAGAAATTAATAGAACTAGCTAAATATTCATTATCCCTTAAATCCCATTATATACCACCATGGAACAATTTAGAACTTTCTGGAACATTCTTGATTAAATTTAATAACCTGCTCGAAACATGTGTGAAACTACTTTTCTAATTATTTTTGGAATACGATAAAAATCTTCAACAAATACCATAATTATAATTCTTTTAAGTTAATCATGGGGCCCCAGGCGGCCCATTCCATAACTGTACCGATTTAGTTTTGCCTGAGATAGGGGGCCCTATAAATACCAGATGGATAAATAATAGAGTTAAAATGTAAAATTTGTCCCATTAAAATCTACTTAAAAATGCCGTAGATATAGCTTTTTAAAATTATCGAACTTTCTGGAAAATTCTAGATCGGATATCATTAGTTTTAAATCCACCGATATTTCAATACGGAATAAGAAGCCTAATGAACAAAGTTAGACTTAGATAAATAAATTCACATAGAACCTATACCGTTGTCTAACCCTATTGATATTCATATAGCTTATATAAGGAAAACTGAACTGGGGCCGGGCCCCAGAGAAATGGATATTATGGGTACAGTACCCTTCGGTATTTGAATATGGATGATAAATTATATCTACTTAGTTTGGTCAAGATCCATCCATTCATGTAGGAGTATTAAGCGTATTGATATTTATATAGCTTTTATTAGGAAAAATGAAATGGGGCCCCCGGCCCCAAAAGAAATTATATTATTAGTTCAGTACCCTTCGGTATTTGAATATGGATAATAAATTATATGTGTGCTTAGTTTGGTCAAGATCCATCCATTCATGTAGGAGTGTTTGTAATTAAATTTATTTATGTAGCTCATATAAGGAAAAAAACGAATTCGAGCCCCCGGCCCCAAACGGAATGTTATAAAAAGTTCATAACCCCTTAAGAGTTTCTTCTGGATCATGATGGATATATGCGCAAAGTTTGGTCAAGATCCATCAATCCATGTAAATGCCTTTGTGGAACAAACAGACCCACAAACAAACCCACAAAATTTCACTTTTATATATATATATATATTATATATGATTACTACTTAATATAAGAAAATTATCAGACTAAACAAACGGAGCTAGGTATAAATTAAGGAGTTAAACATTTTAAAGTTTAAAAAAGTTAATTGGTCATCCACATTATGCATGTAAAGATGACTTATTTTTATGGCCCTTTCCAAGTTAAATCCTCAATTTTTTTATAATATGAAGGCAATGACTTACTTTTTATGATTGTTAAATTTAAGTTTAAGATCTTGCAGTAAGTTTGCATTTTTCGTTATCCCTAACCTCTGCACCTTTTCAAAATTTCTTAATCTGACCAAATACCACTACAGTTGAATCCTGGGTCGAAAAGTTAAATTTAATATTGACACTTCTTTTGAACAACTTAATACTTAATCTTGTATTTTAATGTGAATTAACTTAGAAAAAAATTAAGAAATATCAATAATTTAAATTAACCAGTTTGGAAAACTTCAAATTTTCAAAGATGCAGTCATCAATACATTTTGTTTAGGTCGAGACACTGGCAGATATTTTTGAGAGACGTCCTGTCCTTGGCATAGAGTCCACACAAATTTTGACAGCAGTGCTTGTAATGTGTTCTGCAATAAATTGATCACCCAATGATGAATTTTATGTTGAGCATCCCTCAAAGTCTAAATATATTTAGATTTAGAAAATCTGAACTAGTTAGAGCTGATTTTTTACGCTGTTTTTTAATTCAAAATTTTATAAATAACAGTGTTTCAAAAATTCATATACATTAAGTTTGTATACAGATGTTCATTTAACTGTTAAATCTTCTCAAGTAATCTCATTTTCCAATTGTTATATATAAATGATTTTTCAGGGATCATTATGCAAAAACATATCCAAGATTTCTGACCAAGCAACTGTCAGCTTTTTAATCATTGTAAAAATTATTTGAAGTCTTTATTTATTATTTATATTATTTGTAAAAAAAAAATTGTTTCAAAACATTAGGTTTGGGAAGGCACTTAGTTTTTTTTAGACAAGAAAAAAACAGCTACCTTGCAGTTGAACAGTTACATTGCTAGACAACATAACATTCATTACATATGGCTATATGTATAAGCTTATAACCCAGGATGCATTAGATCAAAACTACTAACCTTAAGAATGGTCCATGAAATCCTCTCCCCAATGCAAGCTCTGGGTCCTAATCCATATGTAAACAGTTTACTTTTTAGTTCAGGACTGTGAAGAAAAACATTGCATTTATGAAATAATATATTGTGTAAAAGTCAATCCTAAACTGTGACGTCGTGCTTAAGTGAGGGATATGATGAGGAGCTTGAAAAAGTAATATAGATTATTTAAATACCTGTAAGCTATTAACTCCTTTCCTAATTTACTGCATTACAGATACTGTATTATTATTTAATTAATTGCTACCAAATGAATAAAACATAATAAAAAGCCATCACTGTAAGAGGCAATGCATAATTAAAATAAAGGAACACCAGTCATCTTATATCAATAAGTGAATTTTTAAAAATTGTAAAGTAACTTCAACTAAATTGTAATTATTTAAGTACTTTTGCTAGGCGTTTAAAAAAAAAGTAGTCAAAATATTATGTTATTGTGTTAGTAATTTTGAATGTCTGAAAATAATCCAATTCATTCATATATTGACCACATAATAAAGCCTTTTCAAGAAATTTGTTGTCACACCTTAAAATAAAAGATTCTCTGGTAGGGAAATAAGTGGCCATTATTAAAAGTTAATTCAGATCTGTTCTGTGCCAAGGTGTGTGCAAGTGGAGCTCCTGAAACAGATGCTGTCAACGCAAGCATCACTGTGTGTGCACTTTTTCAAAGCAGGAACACTCAAAGCGCCATAAAAATCACTATCGCAAGGTGAAATTCAAATTTGAAGCACCAGGCTTGTTGATGAACTATGTTAGGTCATAAGTTCTAATTCAATTTGAGTTTTTAATTACCGGTATTTTGTTTTCATATTTATTCCTATTACAAGCCAAACAATGTCGGCAGCAATGCTTGAACCTCCCATCTACTTACGTTACTTGACAAAAATAACATTCTCCCTTATTAACAGGCTATTTTTAAAAATGTTTCCACATTTCATTAGGTACTTACTTTGCTGACCATCTGTTTGGTAAAAATTCGTGAGGATTTTCAAATACAGACTCATCTCTATGTGCAGAGGGATACATGAAAACAACAGCATAGTTCTCTGGAATTTTATACCCTGCTACTAAACAACTCTTGAATTCAGAGAAAATATGGGAAAAAAACAGGGCAAAATTAAAATTCATTCTAATATCGTAAAAAGATTTTGACACTAATTCTATTTTTTTAATATATACTTAAATATGTATTTGTTTTAATTTGTTTGTGGTGGAATCCATATTAAAGGTTTAACACAATTTATTTTTTTTATTAATATAATACATAGATTCTAAAAATTAAGGAGTAAGGTTTGCACCTTTTGAGCAATCCGCCTCCCACCTAGAAGCGGTGGGTGCAACCTTTTGGTTTCCAAAACTAGATACTCAATAAATTCCAGATCTTCATTTGCTTGAGCTTGAAGATGTGTCTGCAAAGCATATATATTTAAATGTGTATTTTATATCCTAATGATGGTTTTAGCAATACAAAAATAAAGTAAAGAATGATTTTTAAAAAGTTTCTTTGATAGTCACAAAGGTAAAAACAAATGAAAAATATTTATAAAAGTTGCAACACACACAGTAACTTAATTAATACAAAAACAAGGTAATTACGAGTTGACGTGGTAGGGACTTCATACCATTTAATTATTTCTCAGATGAATGCTAGGATCCAACACAGTGGTATAGTCTGAATATATATCTAGATTGTTAATTATGCGTCATAGTGTACAAGACTGGCCTATAGTGAATAGTAGTGAATGGAACAGAATTTCAATTTGGTAGAGAAGTGGACAAATAAAAATAGAAAGGGGCAAGCAACCTAATATACTGCTACTGGTTCTAGTTCTTGGTCAAATAAGATAAAGACAGTTTACTTATTAACTGTCCTCTTGATGAACAGTCCACTTAATAAAGCATGTTTTTAACACATCCTTCAGTAATGAAATGTGTGCTTAACATGGGGGTACCTTGTAACATGTATTGAAAATAAAAATTTCATTCCCCTTTTCTTAAGTTTTTAAAAATTAAATTTGTCACAGGTGTCCAAAAAAGTATTAGCTGTAATGAAAAAACTAGATACCAAGCTTGCAAGTAGATTTTTTCAATATGCATGTTAGGGGTCATTATTTCTTTTTTAACTACAACAGAATCAACTTAAGAAGGCTCCAAAACTGAAATATACTGTATTCAAAATGAGCCCAATCATGTTCTGAAAGTGAAATTAATTACCTTCTCTGACTTTCCAATCTCTAGAAACAATGATGTGCATATAGAAGCAAGGACCTTTGGAATTAAAGCTGTTGTGAAAAGAAGCAGATGATGATTCTTTTCTGCTCCAGTCAAACCAGGGGTGTCTCTCAATTTGCCTGGAAAACAATCTTTAGCTTTCTCAATTTGAGACTTGATCACTTCCAGCAATTTTGACTGCAAATTATAATTATTATCTCTTTAAATGGAAGGGTTAATTTTGATAATATGCCATTAAATTACTTTGAGTTGTAAAATACAGAGGCTGATAGGCCAATAAAATTAGATTATTAAATACCTTAGCTTGATGAGCCTTGCTGTATGTTGATGTACCAGTCCATGAAAGCTGTAGATTAAGTGGCACAGCAGTAATACCTAATAAAATTTAATACCATTGGTAAATTTCATTTTCATATACATTTGGTCATATGTAAATTTAGACCTAACATAGTAATATTAACTCCTATTAATCAAACTGAACTTTTCTCAATAGTGTCCATGAATCTATGAATCTCTGGAAAAAGTCTCACCTCGCCAGTGCTCTTTTGTTAAAGTTGTAATTTTTTCTGCAAGTTCTGGACTTTCCATGAAATCAATGCCTAGAAACAGAGTTAGGCAGACTTCTGAAAACAATTCTTTAAAAAACTTGTATATGCAGGATGGTTTTCTAGGAGCAAAAAAAAAGGGGTAGCCAAAATTTACTTTATTTAAAAGTAATTTACAAAATCAAATTGAATTAAGACATAAATGGAATAACTAAAACTATTGCATCACATTGTTTAAGAACATAATTACATCATGGAACAAGTTACAGTGTTCTTGTTTTGTGTGTAGTTTAAATAATATGCAAATTCTGCCATTGTAAACTATTTAAATATAGAATTAATCTCAAGTGATTTTCTTTTACAATCAGTACGCATGTGAGAATCCCCAAAATATGTGGCAAAATGAATGTAAAGAAAAAACACATTTTTCTCTATATTAAACTAATGCTTTTACATTAGAGGCAGTCAGGACCAGATAAAAACATTACCGGTAATTCAATTGCTCTTTACAAAGCATTTTGACCAAATATGTTTAAGTAGGGTTACCAGACATTCTTATTTAGTATGGACAGTTTGTATTTTCAACCCCCTTGTAAGAATTAAATTTTGCGGCCGTATTTGTCCATACTTTCCCTTTGATGTCTGGCTTGTCCGTACTTTTGGCAGCAAGACTTGCGTTATTTCCATTCGAGTTATCTTATTTCTCCCCAAAAGGCCATCGCAATGAATAGTTTCAGGGCCATTGTGCGGACATTTCTCATTACTCTAAGCATTACTACTGCACTTGAACGAAACCGCGTAAGACTATCTGCACAAAGGAAATCTTCCCAGGGAAAATTGTTGATAGCGATCTCTTTGATGAGCTAACTTTTGTGAAACAGTTTTTGTCACCTGCTAGGCTGGAAGAATGGAACTCGCAAAACATTTCTGTAGATCTAAAATTGGGTGCAACTATTTCAACATTTCAAAGCAAATGGTATACTTTCTGTAAATTTGCAACTACTGCTGAGTTTTCATTCAGCTTTGCCAGCACAACTGAACCTATGTAGCCAGCTTTCTCTCAGACTCCGGTTAAAAAATGATTGAATGCCTGAGAAATTGCAGATGAAAATAACCACTCTGGGAGATATTCTGATTGTTCAGTGTAACATTGATCTAACACTAACATGTCCTTACTTTAATAAGTATAAGCTTCTTGAGAATGGAAATTTGTTAAAAGCTATTCATGGGTCTGCAAAAATATTCACAATAGTTTGTAACAAATGATGTACATAAGAATATTAAAAATCATGCACACCATCTTTTATTGCTTTTGTTGTCCGTCCGTCCCCCCACATCCCCCCCATGCCTCCGGTTGCTCTGAGGTTTTGATGTTCGTACTTGGCATCCAGAAAATCAGTTTAATAAAATAATTATTGTTCTATGAATTCATAACTGTATTTAATGGGTCAATTAAAATATGGTTGAAAATTTCACAATGGAGGTCCATTTGAACAGAAGCGGTATGTTGACTTTCTTGAGCTTGAAAGCTAATTCTACATATTTTTTATGTGAACAGTTTCCAAATTGCTTTTGAGAAAATATACTAATCTTTTTATGTGTATTTCTTTCATATGTATTTATTCCTTTTAAAGTAATTAGTGGTAATTTTAATTTATTAGATTATTTTTTTAATTACTGTACCCAACAAGCACTCTTGAAATTTTGTTCTCCAAAATTCTGAAATTTAAAGAAGAATCAATAGGATTTTAAGAAATATTTCCTAATTGTATTGATTTATTTTATCTTTAATTGTGATTCTCTCAACATAATTGTAAAGCCCTAAAATTAGTTTATATATACAGTGGAACCTCTCATAACGAGCACCTCTCATAACGAGTAATTCGCATAACGAGCAAAAAAAAAATGTGAAGAAGTTGCTCCCTTAACGAGCGACATTTCACATAACAAGTTACGCAGAAAGGGGAAGTCCCTTTTTCCCTCACTTCAGCTTGGAAAAAGCTTTGGCCAGAGAGTGTTGTTGAATGTGATTATGAAACAGTACCTATGGAGTCTACAGTTAATGAGATTTTGTCATTGGCCAATATCATGGAACTTGAGGTGGACAACAACAATATAGAAGAGCACAGTCAAGAGTTGACCACCAAATAGGTTATGGAGTTGGATGGTGTTTCACAGCAAGAAATTATGGAGGAGAGCTCATAAATAGAGGAGGAAGTAGCAGAGCAACAATCTTCTAGTGCCATAAGAGAAATGCTGAAAGCATGGGAAATTGTTGCATCGTACATTGAGAAGCATCACCCTAATAAAGAGGTGGCTATTAGTGCTACAAATTTATTCAATGATAATGCTGTGACACATTTTCGTCAAATTTTGAAGTGTCGGCAAAAAGAAATATCTTTATACAGTTTTCTAGTTAAAATGGATTAATTATTTGTCATAAATTCATATTTTTATTTACTTTTTTGTTTCAAATCTAAATTGTATTCCAAGTTGTTACACTCCATAGGTAATTTTATTTCAATAAATGTTAATAAAAAATTTTGAAAAATTAGTATTTTCACATATTGCTGCCCACAGATACTACTTACCAGCTAAGTGCTATTTCTTATTTTTATAACGTTTTTTCTGTTGTTTTGTTCGCTGACGAAGGCTTTCTGCCGACACGTTCGCTGTTTTGTTACGTTTAATTTTTCAGGTTTAACCATACTCTGTTTTACTCATTTTATTTTGTACTAACCTGATTGCAGTCTCTCCCCTTATTACCCCTAGTATTTTTTCAGCATGGAACGCATTATTGTATTTTACATTGATTTGTATGGGGAAAATTGTTTCGTTTAACGAGTGTTTTGCTTAACGATTAAGATTCTGGAATGAATTATGCTCGTTATGAGAGGTTCCACTGTATATATATAAATTTAATTATGAAATGGCCTTTTGAAAGTTGATGTCAAAATGAGATAAATATAAATTTTCTAAATAAGTGGCACATCTACCTACCTATTTAGTGAAATCTCAAATGTAGACATACAATTTCCCATTAGCAAGGCGCTAAGAATTTCTCTGCTTGATTTAGCTTCTTCATCTAGTTTACAAATTAAATAAAGCAGAACCAATATGAAAAAAAGAAAAAGACATACATGTATGTAAAAGGAATACAAGGGATGTTGAGCCCCAGTATATATTTTTGTTACTTTATTTGAATGCCATTCACTCATTTAGTCCTCATTCACTGGTGACTGGTGCATAAAGAAACTATCAGAGATAGCACCTTTTGTCTAAAAACAACAGCTGCTTATGTTGGAGCTGTATACATGGTCAGGTTTCTATTCTCTACAACCCTCTCTATTGTGCTGGACAAGTTGTCTTCAGCAGTTTTGATATACCTGAGCTGTCCATCTGAGTCCTGCTCTTCTGAGAAGTAAACTTGGTATATTTCTCTAGACATGACCAAGCTAACTACAGTGACATGCTTTCATCTTCATTCAAGAGTGTCTATTGGCCATAAGATTATATGATTTAGGTCTTGAAAACTTCCAGCTTTTTCTTAGTGCAAGTTTCATACAGAACTTTGATCCACTCAAAACATTACTTCTAAAGTTGCTGGTCTTATTGAAGTTGTTCAGGTTGTTTGATCTATAGATGAATGTCAACATTGCAAATGTCTGATGTGCTTTAGTGATCTTAGCATTGATTTTCTGGTCACAAAAACCATCTATTATATTTTGACAGTGATCCTTAGGTACTCAAAGTGTGTCACTGTATTTGGATTTGAAATATTGTATACCCCAAAAAAAATTGCGAAAATTTTCCATGCCCTTGAAATGTATATTTAAAAAAAACTATATCAGATTTTCACTTTTTTTTCAAAATTAGTAGACTATGTATAGATATTTATATTTCTAATATCATTGGGTTTTGATAAATGTCAATCCTCTTTATAATATAGGCCCACCCAGCCCTTTTTCATGCCCCTGTACTATATAGAAAATAATGTTTATTTTAAATTTTTTTAAATTAATTATAATAATATAATTTTGTAAAAGCTTATATATTTTATCATATTTGAATTGATCTATTTCTGTAAATTAATGCAAAATCACTATCATTGTTTTAAAAATCCGGGTGTTTTGAAATTGATTTGATTTCCGTGAAATAATACAAAAACACTGTCATTTTTTTTCTCCAAATCTGAGCATAATGCATCTACATTGGCTCCTTCTTATACCTTCCACTCACAGTACAAAAAATTTTTCTATTTCAATCATTATGAAAGGTGATTTCTAGATCAGCTAACCAAAATTTAGAGGAGTCTGTACTTACTGCTAGCAGAAAGTATATTATTGTCAAACATAGGTCCAATAAATGACTCATATCCCAGATCAAATGAATTGTCCTCATCTGTGATTGATACATATAGGCTGTATTAAATTTACATGGATCATATTTCATATAATTATTATAAATAGGAATTTGTTTTGTAGGATTACAATTCTATAGCAACAATATATCTGAAGTATTGAACAATCAAATCAAACTTAAAGTAATATTAATATATATGAATGATTGTAAAGTAAAACAAAAAGAGAGAGATTTTTTAAACAGCTTATCATTGATTTCAAGGAATGAATAGTAAATATTTTTTACCATTAAGTACATCTTGAACGCCTTTATTTGAACACACAAATATAGTTGGCCTGTTGAGGAAGCGGATCGCAAACAAAGGACTTCTTTCTTGATTAATGTTTTCATCTAAAAATCTATGAGGATCTCTGTAAAACTTTAAAGACTTATCACCTATAATGGGCCATCCAACATGTCCTGGAACATCCATCCTGTAACTTGACAAGTTTTAAAATGTAGTTAATCAGTTGTACATTAACATTGACATTGTAATACCAGTAGTAATAAATATAATTGAAAAATTTAAACTCTCTAGGGCAGTAATTTATTACAATTTTATTATTAGGTCATTGGGAATTCGATAAAAAGAGACTTCAAATAAGTTGAACCAAACAATTATCAACTCCTCTTCCGACATGACACAAATAATTAATGTCAATTTGAACTTTTTAAATGGGTGAAAATGATTTTTTTGTTAACAGTGTGTGTGTGTGTGGGGGGGGAGGGGTGTTAGTATTGTATCTTGTGTGATATCACACATTAAATATCTTTCTAACATACATAAAAACTGAAATTGACAGTGCTGTTTAAGTGTTAAACTTTCTGTTGTTGTAGATGTATTCAGACAGAAGGTGACACTTTTATAAATTTAATAGTAGGTGTGTTTTAGATTACTTTATAATTAGTTGTTAATTTTTTAAACAGTTGTTTAGTTCAAAAGTGTGACGTGCTTTAAGGGGTTAGGGATCCTGAGATTTAGTGACAGGCGGATTTAATGATTGCACTGGGAAATTTTTAACGGGGGGGGGGGGGGGGTAAAATTTATCAACAAAATTGTCAACAACAAATGACGTGTACTGTGTAGTGTAGGCCTGTAACTGTAGGCGTAGGCCTACTTTAGACTTTAGAAGTTTATTTTACTTTTTAAATTATGGACGGCCCCATTACAATATTTCACTACATTATTAACTTTATACACTACCACTTTATACTATATGTCTATACCCAATAGGCTAACCTTGATTATAAATTTATATCTTAAATATTATATTACATTTTTATACTTCCTAGTCACTAGGCTAGTGTCGCCTGACCTACCTATTATTTTATTCAATTGAGTCCTGGTTATGACAATGTTACTCAATAACTCAATGTTAAAAAGTTAAAATAAAATTAAACTTTGAACGGGTCATAAAAAAATATTTGGCTATATATTAGTACAAGCCTAGTGTATTGAAATAAACTTTATATTTGTTTTCCTTTTGTCAGTCTTGTAAATATACCAAGAGGCCTAGTTTACATTGGTTACTTATTAAGCGAAATTTTGTTTTTAACTTTTCCGTTGGTGTGTAGTTATTAATAGATGTTTGGCGGGAATAAATAAGACTAATACTATGGTGCATTTCTAAGTCTAAGTTGTGCGCCTGATGATTAAAAATAACCAAAATATTTGTTTAATTAATGAAACTATCTTCATTTACACGGTTTCCTCATTTTCTTTGGTCCTTTAATATGTCTCAAACTAAAATTTCTGCATTTTTTCAATCGCCCATGCCCACTGCAATCAAGAGAGATCAACAGAAGATGGATAGAAAAAGATCGACAGTCCCCGCAGATTCAGATCAAAACACATTGGTATGTAAAATTTTAGGCTAAATAAAACTTAAATTAGACTAATTAGATTTAGAACCAACCATGGATACAAAAGTTGTTTGGTCAATCCGCTCACGACTAGTACTAGTACCCTAGTCTTTACTTTGTAAGTCGTAGTAGACAGTAGTTCAGTAGTCTGTAGTCCTCAGTCATGGATGACATTATTGACAACTTTAAAGATAACGCTGATGCACTGAGAGTTCTCATAATCAACTTTTGAGTTTTTTTAGATTATAAAAAAAATCACTGCCAGTTACGTCTGCTGTTGACTATACTATACTTGTGTAGCGCTTAGGGTGAATAAAATGTTACACAAACACGTTTAAGTCAAATATTTGATTTTGATTCTCACGCAAAGTGCTTAACTAACACATATTTGCACTTTAACCTAAACACAATTTTATAAGCTATTGCTAATTAATATACATGTATTGTTTAAGTAATCTAGTATTTTTACTGACATTGCCACTCAGGATGATCATGAAACTGTTATTTATTTTCAGAGCAAAAGCCAAGTTAGTAGTGAACCAGAACTGAAAAAGGCTAAATTGTTTTCATCTGATTTGGGAGATAGAAATTCCCATGGGACCACAGGCCTGGTGAATGAAGCAAGTGAAGAAGAGGTGTCAGCACAGGAGAAAAAAAAGGTTGAAAACAACAAGATAACAGCAAAAATAAAACTTACTGGAAATAAAACCAGTGGACTTGTTGTCAACATAGGACTCTCTTGGTTTCATGCATTAGATGCTGAATTTTCAAAAGAATACTTTTTAAAGGTATATTATTTATAGGCCTACAATTTAAAAAAGAAATTAAACATGTTGAATGTTGCTTGCTAGGTCATGCTAGTTACATCTTTTCTGCAGACAGATGACAGGAGGAATGACTAAAGGTTATATTATTGGGATGATTTTAAATGGAAGCATCTGCCTTATATTATAAGCAATGAATGTTAAGTTATTTGATCATAAAATACCCGGTAATGAGAGTGTTCAGGATTTTGAGGTTGGAGTCAGGAAAACCATGTAGTCTGATTTATTTTTTACAGATAAAATAATGTTTAAGTAAAAATTAGTAGGGAATAACTCTCTTTGTACCGGGTATCTATAAAGATGTTAAAAATGAGGTGTGGTATGACTTGCTTTAGGAAATAATGATTAAATAGAAAGCATGTCAATATAAAGCCCGAGTAAGTGGCTTTATCGTTGTTTTGAAAATGATAATAGTTTAGATCTTTGAGTATATTTAATTTCCTAGTTGTCTCATTATTTTTCATCGTTTAAGGCCAGCTATCCAGCTCGCCAGTGATTTTAAGTGGCCTGCTAAAGCTGACAAAATGTTGTGATATTGGCATTTAAATGAAAATTAAAACACGAGTCACTAGCAAATTCAAATAAATCTTTAATTTCTCTGTTAATAACACAGCTTTGTATTAGCAGCTAAACTTATCTAGTCACATAATATTTCTATATAACCATGCATTTTGAACCAAGGATTAAGCAATTCAGCTTGAAATAAATAAAATTCAGCTTAATAGGCCTATAATCTTTCTCATCAAGTCAGTGGTGGCTTTATTGTGGTCCTCAGTTTCATTACCAATTTTTCAGTGGTCCTCTGTGCCAAAAGGATAGACTGCAATGAGTTGTGACATTCTTGAAGTTGATTATTTGATGTTTATCAAGTCTTTTGTGACCTTCCATTTAATTTATTATTTTAAATTGAATAGAAATGTTTTACATCTAATATTTCAGAAATGCATAATTTTAATGTTATTTATCTTTATTACAAAATAGCCTATTTAGAATTAAAGTTTTATCTCTAAAATTGTAATTCAGTTAAGCCAATTTATTGCACAAGAAAGAAAATGTGCCACAGTGTATCCACCAGCTGATCGAGTTTTCACTTGGACAAAAGGATGTGATATAAATTCAGTAGGTATTCAGTAGACAATTTTTAATCAAATAGTTGAAAAGCTCTGACTGTCTCATTCTCCATAAATGTTATGCAAGATGGTCTTCTATATCCTGTTCTATGATCCTACATGACTATATTAATTGTAATGTAATGTAGAATTTATTTTTTTATTATGCATGTTTAAACCATTCTATTACTTCTTTTTAAAAACTATTTAAATTTTGAATTTAGGTTAAAGTTGTGATTATTGGTCAGGACCCTTACCATGGACCCAAACAAGCACATGGTTTGTATTTCATGTGCATTTTTTTTTTTTATCGAATACAAATCAACACCCACTTCTAAGAATTAGAGTTATACTTATTACATAATTATAGAGAACTCCCAATTTTGTTTTAAAGACTGACTGCTTGTCTTATCAATGCGCCTATTGAAGACTATTTTGGAAATTGCAAAGTGTCAGTGTCTGTGCAAAGATCGTGTGGCTGCGAATGATTAAAAAAGAAAGTGTGTGAACAAATTCTTTTTAAGGAAAGTTACCTAAACAACTGCAAATATATTTGGATAGTAATGAGTTCATGTCACTGCATTTTTTTTAAAGATATTGACAAGCAAATGCTGATTTATTTTTTTTATAAGCTCTCTTAGAGTCTCTAGATGTTATTTTTATTTCATTGTTACCCATGGGCTGCCCACGAGGGAGGGGGGGGGAGCACGTGCGTGGCCCCCCCCCCCCCCCCCGCTGATGGTATTAAAAAAAAAATTAAACAAAAAAAAAAAAAAAATAAAAAAAATTAGACAAAAATAGACAAAAAATATACTAAATTACCTATCACTTCTTGGCAGTTTAAAAACTGCAGATCTTTCACAGCAATGTTTTTAAAATTTATATTTGCAACAGTAGAGCAGAAATTCGGTAATATAGCTATTATTCTTGTGTTTATATCAGGTCTTTGCTTTAGTGTTCTGCCAGGAATAAAAGCACCTCCAAGGTAAATTTATTAGTAGAAAAGAGTGGAATGTTATAGGCTCCTAATAATTGGATATTGATGATGAGTAACTCTTCTAAATTAAAATATTGTTTTAAAATTGGGAAAATAGAGCAATTTGATCTCCAAGCCTTACCCTGATGGTATGTACATTTTAAAATAATTTAACTTTTTCATCCTAAGCTATTTATGTTTAACTCATTTTTTTCATTAAGCACACATATTGACAGTTTCAAATAGAGTGGTTAATAAACACTGCTTTCATATAAATATGACATAGTAAGAGAAATCTAATTTAACCCTTGATTTCAACATATTTTTAAAAGATTAAATGAATCTTTAATAAATTATCTAGATTATTCAAGGAAGAAATAGGTTGGTTTTTCTCCTGTGCCATTTTTACCTTTAATTTTTTTTTTTAAATTACTTGGTTCAAAGAATGATAGGTCAAGATAAAAAAAATAAAACTGTGCACTAATCCTGTTCATTTGCATATTTCAGTTTGGAAAATATTTTCAAAGAACTTGAGAACAGTATTGATGGGTTTAAACGTCCTAAACATGGCAATCTTATTGGTTGGGCTCAGCAAGGTAGGTTTAACTTATAAGTAATATCATTTTTGGAGAAAAAAGGAACTCCCAAACACACATACAAACAATCCAAAAATGTGTTACTATTTTACAATTGTTATACCCATTGAATTGCTTATTATTTTTTGTTTTCTAGGTGTGCTTCTACTTAATGCTTGTTTAACAGTGAAAGCAGGTCAGGCCAACTCCCATGCAGGCAGAGGTTGGGAGACATTCACAGATGCTGTGATAAATTGGCTAAATTCAAATTTAACAGGAGTTGTTTTTATGCTCTGGGGAGCATATGCTCAAAAGAAAGGATCATGTATTAACAAGGTTTTTCTATTTTTTACCTTCTTTTACAAGTAAATTATCCATTAAAGTTATTTAGAGTAAATTAATAACAAAGAGTCATCAAAATTTCCTTAATATCAATAACTTCTTACCTGACAAGAATTGTAAAATGAAATACTGGTAACTGAACAAATATATCTCTTCAAAAACTTTTTTTTAACCAGCTTAGATTTCTTGGCATTATTATATTGATTTAATACCTCTCCAGGGAATGTTAATTACTTATGCCTCCGTGCACTAAGTCTCTTTAATTTAATATCACATAAGTAGTAACATGTCAGATTTTTTATCCCAGAAAAAGCACCACATGTTGACAGCAGTTCATCCATCTCCCTTGTCAGCCCATCGTGGTTTTCTGGGCTGTAAACATTTCTCTACCTGCAATGAATTGCTCATTAAAGATGGCAGGAAGCCGATTGATTGGACTCACCTACCTGAAAAAGAAGAGCTGTAATTTTTAAAAATGTTGGTTTGAGCTTCACCTAATTCTCAGTGTAAATATGTACATTTTTTTTTTATGGAAGGTTTTATTTCTTTTAGATGTGAATTCATTTTATGATGTTTTTACAGTGTATTGCTTTCATTAAAGTTCGTTTTGCACTTTTGATCCTAGGTTAGATGTCAGCATCCCATAGTAACAAATAGTACTCTGTGAGGGGGGGGGGTCACCAAAATAGGCTGTCGCCAGAGCAGGCAGACTTGTTGGAGGTCCATGGGGGTAATGTGGAGGGGGGTGAGGCTATGAGCTTACCCCATGGGTGACACAAACCCCAGTGACGCCACTGCTGAAGAATTTTTATGTCCAGTATTAACAACAATTGAGGGCTCCTTTGTTTTTCATTTTGCAGCAATGTTCCTCATATATTTGCAGGTCTTATTTTATGGTATGGTACAAGTATTTCTTAAGACTAAATCATTATAGTTTAAATTGAAAGCTGTGCAGTGATAATTTTTATTATAATGTACACTGATTGACATAATAAATTGTTTTAATGTCTCATACCCTCCTTCATTTTTAAATTACTGGTACTGAAAGTAATGTGACAAATTAAGTGGTGACTCTGAAACACTAACTGAAATATAAACTGTCACTGAGTTTATTGTTTAAATGACAAAAAACAAAGGGATTAGATATGGGTATCTGTTATTGCTAACTTTAGATACCTGTACTATATAATAATTTCATAAACATTACAATAAATTAAGAGTTTTATGTACAGATCACAGGTCTTCCCCATTAATAAGAAAAGTTATCTCCACATATTTTGTAGTGTTAAGATAAATATTTTCTCTAAATAAAAATTATTTGTGACAACAAATAATATCCATGGCATTACATTTAAAAGAAACAATTCCAACTGATGAAATAAAGCTTGACTATAATCTAAAAATAGTCATGGATAACTATTAAAAGTTTAATTTAAAGGTGAGAATGTATAGTAAATGAGGATGTGTATTTTTAGCATCATATGCCACAGTCATTCATTCATCTGTCATCACTTGGTAGTTGTTCAAAAGTTAATGGAAGCTGGAGTTGAAAGGGGGAAAAAAATGAATTGATAGGAAATATCTATGGAACTGCATGTGGTACCCAGAGGATGTTGAGTTGTTGACATACGAGTGTAATTTATAACATACTTAAGTGATTGGAGAGATTCTGTGCTTTGTATCTATCCTTTGTTTTGTAAAGTATTTTTTCATATTTATATTCAAATAATAATAGCATTTTTGTGTGTGTAAACATACAGGCTATTTACCATATCTTATATTTTACTATGAATTCATCATCGCCTGTTATTAAACTCTTAAGAGAAGAAAGAACGAAATGGGTCAGATTAAATGAGCTAAAAAAATATATATAGGTGAAAGGTGCGAACAAGAACATTAACAAGTGTTTTTCAACAACTATCATCAGACACCCGTAAACTAACATTCATTATATATGAACAATTTGCTGCAGAATGTTCATCCCAACCATGGCGGCATAAGACCGCCAAGTTAAGTGACCAACTGGCACATAGCCTCTCTCAAGACTGTCCATACTAATGGCGCTGTCTATGGCCATGTCCATCATGGAAGAGTGACGTCTGCGCCGGCCAAGGGGCTGAAGCGAACGGTTGTCAATAAGCGAACGTGGTATGGTCACTAGTACAGAATGGTTGTTGCTGATATCTGTCTGTGTGCTAACATCCTGAAAAGAAAAGTTAGCAGGAGTAGGATTCATTTCGTATAATAGTTTTTGTCACAACAGCCTTTTAGTGGTTTCAATAAATTCAATTATGCATTGAAAAAAATATGCTCCACATGTCACTGGCATACTGTGAAAGGCGTTGTTAATTCACATTTTAAATTAAAGCTTTGGAGCACTGCAAATTATCCCATCATGTTGAACATCAAATGATTAACAAGTCATGGCAACCCAACTAAGTAGGCCTAACCAAAAATGTCCATATCCTGGAAAGGATTGACTGCAAGTAGCTGCACCCAAACGTTCACTTAGTACAAGTGGCTGCACCCAAACGTTCACTTAGTACACGTGGCTGCACCCAAACGTTCACTTAGTACAAGTGGCTGCACCCAAACGTTCACTTAGTACAAGTGGCTGCACCCAAACGTTCACTTAGTACAAGTAGCTGCACCCAAACGTTCACTTAGTACAAGTGGCTGCACCCAAACGTTCACTTAGTACAAGTGGCTGCACCCAAACGTTCACTTAGTACAAGTGGCTGCACCCAAACGTTCACTTAGTACAAGTAGCTGCACCCAAACGTTCACTTAGTACAAGTGGCTGCACCCAAACGTTCACTTAGTACAAGTAGCTGCACCCAAACGTTCACTTAGTACAAGTAGCTGCACCCAAACGTTCACTTAGTACAAGTGGCTGCACCCAAACGTTCACTTAGTACAAGTGGCTGCACCCAAACGTTCACTTAGTACAAGTGGCTGCACCCAAACGTTCACTTAGTACAAGTGGCTGCACCCAAACGTTCACTTATTACAAGTGGCTGCACCCAAACGTTCACTTAGTACAAGTAGCTGCTAGCGAGTTTCATGTATTTTATTTTTATTTTATCATGAACCGCTGCTTAAAATATTGAGTTTTCACATTAGGCCATATCAATCTCTCTGAACTTCGGGGAACAAAGTACAAGTTCCTAGCTAACGGTGCACTTTTAAATTTACGGTCCCTCTTAGGGTGTTCATTCATTTGCTGCAATTTACTGCATTGGAAATGAAAGTGCTTTATTTAAGAGTACAATCCCAGTACTAAAACCCACGCAACACGCCACATCCCATGTTCTTTCCCACACTCCCATTACATTTTTCCCACCATTCTTTTTTCCAGTCTTTACAATTCCATACTCTTTCCCAACTCTTCCATTACAATAGAATACATTCTTTTCCCCTGCTCTCCCATTCCATGATATCTCCCATTCGATGCTCTTTCCAAACTCTCCCATTCGATGCTCTTTCCAAACTCTCCCATTATATGCCCTTTCCCAACTCCCCCATGCCATGATCTTTCCCCAACATTCCTATTCAATGCTCTTTCTCAGTTCTCCCACTACATCCCCCCCACTACATCCCCCCCCTTTTCTTCCATTCTATGTCCTTTCACAACCCTCCAATTTCATTATCTTTCCCAAAACTTCCATTCCATCATCTTTCTCAACTCTCCCACACCATGATCTTTCTCAACTCTCCCACTCCATGATCTTTCCAAAAAGTACACATAACGCCACTGTATATAAAGCCTAGGTGTTAATAAAATTATATTAACATAAAGTGTTTTGATAAACCAAACATCTAAAACAATCTATTACTCAATACACTTCGTCGTGAAAGATGGCTAAACTTCAACACTTACCTTCATACTATCTCTGACTGTCCTCCACACTCCAATTATGTCAGATACAGCGTTGTTCTTTGGTGACCATCGAGCAAGATTCATCACTCTCAAGGAATAGTTGCATTCGGGAATGGGACACGCAAACTGCTCCATCTCTTTGCCGTGCTTTTGATCAAAGGAACACGCCATTAGGTGTGAGGAGCGCTGAGGGCTGGTGTTCCAACGAGGTGCAGGGGCGCTGGTGTCTCGAGGCCTTGACGGGGGCGATGTGATCTGTGCAGATTTTGCCCTTCGAGGTAAAGTCTTTGGAGAGACATGCCCGCATTTAGAGCAGGCGGCTTCGGGAGCACCAAGCCCCGCGGGGGCACTGTAACGAGAGGAACTTCTTTCAAAATGACTGGGTTGTTTTTCTCTCAGGAATGTGTTGCTACGAGCCATTCCATTGGTCAGCTGTTGATCAGTGTCTTTAGAAGATGGACGCCTAACTTCACCTTGGTTTGAGGATTTGGGACGGTAGCAACTTGGGTCAGAATCAGTTTTATTCAAGTCCACGTTGCTTGAATGATCATGGAGAGGTCCACTATCCGACGAATCAGATTTGTTTTGACTGTCCATGAAGTCGGAGTACTCTATTTCAGTCTTTTGGTTGTGTCCATCCCGGAGAATTTCATCTTTCAGCTTGCCCAGACATTCACTGCAGAACGTGTGTCCGCAAGGCAGTATTCTGGGTCGTCTGTAGATTTCTCCGCACAGGTAACAAGTAAGGCAAGTTTGGATGTCAAGGACGTTATCAACTGCAGATGTTATCTTTAGTCGCTCCATATCGCCTTAATCTGGTCTACACACTGAAAGCAGGCAGATAAAAAACGTTTTGTGCCAAAAATGTTATTAAAACCAAAACTATTAATTTTAACAAAATTTATTCACTAACACAGAAAAATCACTGTAATTTTAAATGACTCAAATTAAGTTTAATTTTAATGGCACGAAGGATAATCTCTTGATTAATTGCATTGCTGATGTGAGTGAGAAGGCTAAACATTTACAAATGCCAGAAGTAACTAAAGCCGGTTACATGTACTTATTATATAAATCATAACTATAAATGAATCTGCTTACACTTACACTTAACCTAACATGGCAATCGACATCCTCTTTGCGGAACCTAGAAAATGCTACCGGTACAGGGTACCGTACCTACTTCATCCACATAAAAGCCGATTAGGAATTTTCTCATTCAGTTCATCGGTGAAGGAGACATGTTGACGATGTGCTGCGGGTTGGTTTTGTCCTACTTGAGTCTCCAATCATGTAGAACGCACAAAACGAAGTCATTATTGTTATGAACACAGCTGCAGAAATAACTATTGATTATCGATCGGCCCGTTTCTTAAACGGTAATGAAAAGAAAGTATCATAAAAATGGTTTTACAAATTAAATATAACTAATCGGCTTTTTCCAAGCTTTAAGTTTGTATTATCTGCAGAACAAGTCTACTCGGTCGCGTGCGGTGCGTCTGCAAATCAAAGACACAGTAATCAGTAAGTGCGAGTGTGTAGTGTAGTGCCTTCAGTTTCATGTGTTCAAATGATTGTAGCAGCCGCTGACAGAGTTATCGATCTCATGCCCGGTAGTACTCAGCTAGACGTGCTGCGAGATTGTCAAAGCACAGCTCTTTAATCTAAGTCCTCGAAAATTTGATCAATCCATCGACGTGCCGTGCAAGCCACGATTTAATTAAATCTGTTGTGTGCTATTTAAAGAGATTGTCGCTGGGGAATGAGTGGACCGGACTACACAAGTGGCTATAGAAAACTAATAAAAGACCTGTTGCTAACACTTGATAGGCCTACTTGTAATCATATTCATGGTCAATTTCTTAACTACCGGTAGGCCTACAGTAAACCAGCACACAGTTAATGTGTAGATGGAGCCGAATAAGTCTAGCAGCAGCATAGGTATAATTATTTTAAGGTTGACTTGGGGGCTGGATTTGGGATGCTTCATGTTTGGCAGAGCTATATGCTGTACCGGTATTTGGAAACATGAAGTAAGTCCCAAAGGAGGTCGCTTTCTTCTTCTACCTTAACTTAAATCACTGTCCATCTGTTTATTTAAAAAAAAAAAAAAAAATTAAAACGAATTCATGTTTCCTTTGACAGAATAACCCAATCAAAAGAAATGTTTATTTAGCAGATATACTTTTGTAGTGTGGAACTTGGTGAACACCGACACAACTGATGCCACGTGATAAGGCCAACCGACGCATGCCATTAGTAGACATCTCTTGGTCATGTGTTCTGTTTGACATCCCGGCGGGTTACTGCAATTGTTTCTGGTCACGTGACAATCAGTCACTGCCCATCGAAACGATCAAGATCAATACTACAGCCTGTTGTCTGACACGTAGGCCTAGTATTCTTAAAGTGGAGAGTTCTGTCTGACCTGGACATGTGCTCTCACGGTGCTGGTGTTTTGTGTTTGTTTTTTTTTTGTTGTTGGGTGTGGGGGGGGGGGCGGGGGTGGGGAAAGAGAGATTTTCCATGCAGTGTGCAGAGCCAATCGCTATTAAGTGAAATTAAAAAAAGTAAAAAAAAAAACACAGAAAAACACTACAGCCTGTTGTCTGACACGTAGGCCTAGTATTCTTAAAGTGGAGAGTTCTGTCTGACCTGGACATGTGCTCTCACGGTGCTGGTGTTTTGTGTTTGGTTTTTTTTTGTTGTTGGGTGTGGGGGGGGGGCGGGGGTGGGGAAAGAGAGATTTTCCATGCAGTGTGCAGAGCCAATCGCTATTAAGTGAAATTAAAAAGAGTAAAAAAAAAGACACAAAAAAACACCACAATTTTTAAAATTATAATGCCCAATATAAGACACGTCTTATCCCCAACAAAAACATGAAATATTGAGTTCTTTGATGATGTCCAGTTCAGTCCAGTAGCTTCTTGCTGTCCTGTCGGATAGTACGGTACAGCTAGGTGCTTTTTGAACATGATCAATTCTGTTTTTGTTTGTTGGCTGATCAAGGTTTCTTGCCGAGGCGCTCGCTGGTTTTTTTTGTTGCGTTCTTTTTCCTTCAGGTTTTCCCATACTTTGCTAATGTCCATCGTTTTGATCATACTTTGCTAATGTCCATCGTTTTGATCATACTTTGCTAATGTCCATCGTTTTGATCATACTTTGCTAATGTCCATCGTTTTGATCATACTTTGCTAATGTCCATCGTTTTGATCATACTTTGCTAATGTCCATCGTTTTGATCATACTTTGCTAATGTCCATCGTTTTGATCATACTTTGCTAATGTCCATCGTTTTGATCATACTTTGCTAATGTCCATCGTTTTGATCATACTTTTGATAGGTTACCCACTTCATGAGACAACGCATATTGCCTGTAAGAGCCTACCTATGTGTATGCAACGCCGGCCTTTAGGGTGTGCGACCTGTGCCCTCGCACAGGGCGGCGTGGCCATAGGGGCGCCCGGTAAATATTTAAATTCCCTTAGTTTATTATAGTGAAGTGTGAACTGTAGAAAAACTAAACAGTCTTAAATTAATGTTCATGTTGCAATGCGTATGGTTAGCTACATGTATAGCATCATAAAACGTGATCTATAGCCTACGTCTTAATAATCTGAAAAAGAGAGGAGCCATACAATCCTACAGGGACAGGGAAGTGGCGCCGAACGAGTGCTTCTGCACAGGGCGAAAGTTTACCTCAGGCCGGCGTTGGTATTTGACTTCACCTCACCAAATAACACAAGACACTTCCTTTCAAACAATAAACAAAATCCAATCAGATCGTTCAAAACAAAACAAGTTTAATGAGTTCACAAAAAGAATGCACAACGAAACGCTAATGTTTATAAACTGTCCAAATATCTTATTGAACGCGGCGTCATTCAACGCTACTGATAAGATACTGCCAAGCAAATGCAACCACTGCAAAGTGTCAAAAATAGTTGGAACTACATGTAAGTTGGTAACAATGATACTAGGTCCAAGTCAATTGTAACTACGTGGGGTTTATGGCAATAATGTAACCAGCCCGATTTCACTACAAGAGGATACAGTCATCACGGGTGAAAAAAAAAAAAAATAAAAAATAAAAACAGTTTAAAACACTGATTTTGTTATAGAAAAAAAACTGGCTTCTACTACTAGTGTAATATTGAAATAGCTCTCAAGACAACACACTTAAAGCAATGCATGTCTAAATGACATCAGAACACTACAGCGTAGTGGTGGAACTTTGGACTGGTAATAATTAAGACTTATTACCAAAAACACATTGAAACCATTAAACCTGAAGTCTACATAGAGCATTAGAAAAACATTGACAATTTTCAGTATGGAAGTAGCAATTAGCTGCCACTGCTGTATAACTTCTAAAATGTGGTTCTTTTATTGCTGGGGGGGGGGGGGGGGGGGTTTAAACTAAAAAGCACACTTTTTTTAAAATAAAA